TCCCATGCATATATACATCTCTGCCATCCGCCCCCTCTCACAGCGCATCCCACCCCTCCTCAAACAACGTCTTCTTAACCTTGAGCTCCTCCGCCCCAAGATACAGCGGCCTAACAACCTGCATACTACCCGTCCCCAGCTTAACGCTCTGCCCCATGATAATACACTCACTGACACCATCAATCGTATCCGTCTTGCCCCTCGCCGCCGCCTCAAACAAGTGATCCGGCGTCTTCTCAAACGACGCAAGCTGCAACACACTGTCCCTCGTCTTCTGCAGTCCAAAACGCGTGATACCAAAGACCTCGCCCTTGAACGTCATGACATCGGCTAGAAGCTGCATGTGACGCGGATCAATGTCCATGTTACCCATGACATCTCCGATTTCACGCACAATGGTTGCGCGGGCGGCTTCGATGCCGAGAACGGTTTTGACTTCCATGACGTGGTTGGACTTTGTGTTGTAGGGTTCTATTCCGGGGGTTGTCATGCAGTCGCGGAGGCCGTAGCCTTCTACGAGGAGTTGGCATTCGTACTGGCCTTGGGCGTTGGGGCTGCTTTCTTTCTTGATGATGGCGCGCGTGCAGTCGGGGTAGCCTTTGATGACGACGTCGGGGATGAGGGCTTTGACTTGTTGGACGCGCTCGAAGAATTCCTTGTGGTTGCGCGAGGTCTTTGTGGGTCGCTTTTTCGCGGCGTAAGGGTCGGGGACTTCGACGCGGATTATGGAGGAGGAGATGCGGACGTTGGCGCCGGCTTTGCCCCATTTGAGCGGCTTGTGGGCGTTGATTGCTGCGGCGATTTCTTGGGGTGAGACGTCGACGAAGAGTTGGTTGATGGTGTCCCAGTCGATGCGCATGGCGATGTAGGCGCCATTGGGGTGCCAGACATCTTCGACGTAGGAGATGACGTCGCGCAGGTACGTCTTTTCCACACGCGCCTTGACGATTCGCGCAGCGGATTCGGAGACCTTGTTGGACAGCTCGCAGGCGATGACGGGAGTAGAGATGGAGGACGAGGCGTTGATGATTTCCTTGATACGGGGTACACCCTGGGTGATGGACATACCAGCGACACCAGCAAAATGGAAAGTCTTCAGTGTCATTTGCGTTCCGGGCTCACCAATAGACTGAGCACCAATGGCCCCAACGGCGTGACCGGGCTGTACTCGTGATCGATGATACTTGGTTAGACAAAGCGTTATGAAGGCCTCGAGCGCGCTGTGCGAGATCTTCGCAATTCCATCAGCGAGGCCGTACTTCTCTGCATCAGCTGCAGACTGCTTCCTATCCTTCTTGCGATCGGGCTGCACTACTCCCAGATAGGCAAGAGTTGTTTCAAGCTTCTGTGCCTTCTTGAAGATGTAGTCTTGCACGGTATCGAGGAAGTCACGCAGAGACTCTTTTTGGTCGATGCCACCATCAGTCCTGTCGCGATACTCCAGCGGCGTTACGCCGTCGAGCTTGAACCTAGGATATTTGTTTCGTTCGGTATTTAGCTTTGCCTCTGTGTACTCCTTAACTTCCTGTGGCGTCAGGCCCGACTCTGAGTTGTCCCACGTCGACGTTACGGCATGCGAGAATGTCCTGTCAAAGTGCACGGGTTTTGCCTTGCCCTCCATGTCTACAGGGTCGAGGTTGTCGTCTCCGTACTGGAATTGAACTACAGTTCCGGAAGAGTTCCGAACAGTGTCATCGTACTGTGCAGAAAGATCTTCGAGTGATTTCATCAGTCGCCTACTCATGTAACCAGTCTCGGCGGTCTTGACAGCTGTGTCGACCAAACCTTCACGACCACTCATAGCGTGGAAGATGAACTCGGAAGGTGTCAACCCCGAGAAGAAACTGTTACTGACGAAACCTTTCGATGCGGGCTGACGGGCGGCTTTGGGGAAGTGAGGTAGTGTTCGGTGGTGGAATCCATCTGCGACACGGGCACCGCCAATCATCTGTTGTCCGACGGAAGCAACCATTTGGGAGACGTTAATGTTGGAACCCTTGGAACCGCACTTGGCCATGAGCAAGGGTGAGTTCCATCTGCTGAGCTCTTCGAAACAGATGTCACCAGCCGCTTGACGTACACCGGACAAGATACCACCGATCCTGTTCTCCATCGTCTGCTCTTCGTCGCAACCGGGATCACGCTGCAGCTTGCCCTCCTTGAAGTCCTTGATCAATTTGTCGCACTTGGCGTAAGCCTCTTCTACGAGATCTTGCTTCTTCTTGTTCAACTTCTCTCCGGGGGTAACGTCACTGATGCCGAGAGAGAAGCCGTTGTTGGAGAGCCAACGTGCAGACAGTTTGGATAATCTGTTCATGCCCTGCACGGCGTGATCGGGGCCGAAATCTCGCATCATGACGTAGAACACCGAGTCTTTCTTACCGTCACCAACTGTCGCCTTGTCCATCACACCGCACATAACCTCAGAGTTGCGAATGACAAGATAAGCATCGTTCTCATTTAGATCGGGAGCTTGATCGGGGGTATTCTTGAACTGCTTGCATGCCGCTTCGAGGTTGATCAACACCCTACAACCCTTGTATGGCTTCATCAGCAGGTTGAAGACCTGCTTTCCGGTCCAAAGTGCCTGTGGCTTCCATACAACCGGTGGTGGGATGTCGATAGGGTGCTTTTTTCCTGTGTCTGGGTCGAAGGCTCCTTCTCCGTTGAACATGTAGTTTACAATCTGACAAAACGTCCGTCGATCGTAAAAGTTGTTCTTGTTGCTGAGGAGATATGCTGCAGTAATGAAATCTTGGATAGCCGCGATAATTGGTGTTCCGTTCTTGGGGGTTGCAAGGTTGTATTTGACACCCATGAGCTCGGTAGCCTCGGTTCGCGCTTCTTCGGTTTGTGGAACGTGTAGGTTCATCTCGTCACCATCGAAATCGGCGTTGTAAGGATTGCAGACACACTCATTCAGACGGAAGGTCCTCCATGGGCGGATTTTGGCGCGATGACTCAAGATACTGAGCTTGTGTAGGGAGGGCTGCCGATTGAAGAGGACAATGTCTCCGTCTTCAATGTGTCGCTCAACGATGTCGCCAATTCTGAGTCGCTTCGAAGTGGCTTCTAGCTTCTCGCCCGTAGTATCGAATCGCGAAAGACCAATAAGTGACGTCTTGTTAGGCTCCTTGTTTGGTCCCTGATCGCTGATGATGTAGTTGGCGCCGGGATACTTGTTCGATCCATTCTTCACCAATCTCCTCAGCTTGTCAATGTTGTATCGTGTGGCCTTTTCGGGGTATGTGAGGTTTTTTGCAATGCGCTGCGGGACAGCCACTTCGTCGATGCTCAGGTTCGGGTCGGGACCAATGACAGTACGACCAGAGAAGTCGACACGCTTTCCGGAAAGGTTCTGACGGAATCGGCCACCCTTTCCCTTCAAGCGCTGGGAGAAACCGCGCATGGTCTTCTGAAGACCCTGCTGTTTCAGACCAGGCGCGTCGCTGTTGATGTACATGGCAATCTGCAGCTGCAGGAAATCCCACTGCTCCATCAGGATCTGGAGAGGGAAGCCTCGCGCGAGCCCAGCGCGTATTATGCTGCTGATTTGACATATGTCTCCGATCTTGTTGGTCACGTCGTCCTCGGTCGCGCCGCCTTCCTGCATCACGGATGGGCGGAGCGCGACTGGTGGTACAGGCATGTACTCCCAGATCAGCATCTCCGGTCGCGCATCCTCGGGTATCATGGCCAACAACTCGCAGTCCTCCGGTGATATCTTCTTGAACAAGTTGAGCGCCCTCAGCGGATGCATGTCGTCCACAGCCTTCTTCAGGTGCTTGTCCAGATCGGGGTTCGCGGATTTGGCGGTATCGAAGGACTGATCGAATTCGACTTTGCCGGCGGGTGGCTTCTTCGTCTTCGCGGTAGACCGGTTGAAGGCATCGTATCGGTTGTGGATGATCTTGAGCGGGTGGCCGGGTACCTTGCGGACGGTACCCTGCAGGGCGTTGCAGTATGGGCACGTCTTCTTCTTCCTGCAGTCGTCAAGGATCTTCTTGGTGACTGCCCCCTTGCGCAAAGTGTCCATGTCGGGCCGGCGCATACTGCGCAGGTATCTCCGTCGCTCCACCTCATCCAGCAGCACGCGCGAACAGTCTTTGCAGATGCAGTTGAGCACCTCGATGATGTGCTTCAGGTACCCCACGTGGAATGCAGGCAGCGCAAGCTTGATGTGACCGAAGTGGCCGTTGCACCTGTCGAGGCCTTCGCCACATGTTCCGCACTTTCCCTGCTTGCTCGAGATTCCCATGTGCGTGTCCATGGGCCCGTTGGCCGTGAGCGAGCGCGTGCCGTCGGCGGCGGGCTGGAGGTCGTAGACATTGCGGTCCGAGACTTCGAGGACGGCCTGGTTCACGATGTCCTGGTTGGAGTAGATGCCGAACTGGATGTGCTTGATGCGCGCGGGGATGCGGTCCACGACCTGCTGCTTGGCCGAGCTGCGCGGCGCCTCCATAGTGGCGGGGGGTGGTTGTGCGGGGTCGCTGAGGTGAGTTGATGCTACCGGGAGTCGTCGCAGTGGTCGTCGTCTCGCATAGTCGTCGCGTCGTGAGTCATTATCTGGGCAACAGCAGAGTGCAGCAGCAACTTTCTCGTCGCGCCGCTGCAGATTTCAGGGTGGGGAACCTTCCCGTTGCGCTAAACCCACTAATGCGCCCTACTGCGGGCTGATAAGCTGATAGTACCCCGGAAGGCAGTCGTGACCAGGAGCATCACCGCCTGGTGGCTGCCTCACCATTGACCGTCTCTCTGCCCCGCCCATAGTGACGGCGAGGTTTGCAATAACTTCGCGTGAATTACTCGCTTTACCCTTCTTCCCACTCCTTCCACGCCAGCAGCACCTTAATCTACACGCTACTGGTTGCTCCTGCCTCCTCGCCCACGGTACTACCTACACAGCGTCCCCGCTCAACCTCACCCCGCCTCAACTGCTCCGCCTCCCAACCAAGGCTGTATTCGCGTCACTCTCTGGCGAGACGCACTTCTCTCTGCTCATGAGTTCAAGTAGGCTTCTCATCGCACCATCTTCCATGTTCTTTCCCCGTCTCACTGACACCCCAGTCTTCCGTATCGTCCTCCGGGACGCAAAGCGGTACGACACGTACGAGACCCGTGAGTTCGACCTGCCGCTCAACACCGAGTTTCCCATCGGTCGAGCGTCCAGCAACGCGGCCAAGCGAGAGCTCATGGCGGCACCACATAACGCCTTCATCGACAGCCCCGTGATCTCACGACAGCACGCTGTCCTGTCCGCCAACGCCAACAGCGGCGTTCCGGAAGTCTACATCACCGACAAGGGCTCTATGCACGGCACCATGCTGAACGGCCAGAGGCTGTCTGCCAGCACACCCACCAAGCTGAACGACGGCGATGTCCTGCAGTTCGGCACTGACGTTAACCGTAATGAGGGTACGTCCTCGCGTAGGCCCTCCAAACCTCCTCTTACCCTAGCTTCTGAGCTGACACCAACCCACACAGAGTTCTTCGTAGCCCGCACCTACACTTTCGAGTCGCAGCTATCACGCCCCTTCTCCCTCGGCTTTACCGTCCCTGATGCCGAGAGTGACGAAGAGGAAGTCGCAGAGCGCCGAGGCAGCCAGATCGATCCTTTCGTCATCGACGACGACTCCGACGCAGCTGATGACCACTCGGAGGCCGACGACCAAGAAGAGGTTACCATGATCATGGATCAGGTCCTGCACCCAAACGAGCATGGCCACACTCTCAGTATTGGTCAGGACGACTACCCAACGTCCGCAATGCGCACCACTCTTCCCAACGAGGACTACAACCCAGAGAGCTTTGCGTCTCGCCGTGACGACTCCCTCGAGCCTGCAAGTCCAAACCCTTCTAGCGATGAAGAAGACGTGGCCGCCCTTGGTTCTGATTCGGACAGCGAGGCTGGCAGCATCGATAGTTCCGAGATGCTGTCTGACTCCGAGCCAGAGATTCAGGATTCTGAAGACGAGGAAATGAAAGAGAGTGAGCATAAGAAACCTACCACATCCTCATCCAACAAAGAGAACGAGGCGTCCGTCAACAGCCAAGTACCCCAGACTGTTCACTCCTTCCCGCGCGATACAACGACGCTTTCGCTCTCGGACGTATACATGCCACAAGACGTAGCCAACACACAGCCGTCGCTACCACGCCTGTACATGTTCGGTATGCAGGGCTCTGACAGCAACTCCATGTCGAACAGTAACGTTTATGGAGATAACGCGCCTCCACCTCTGCCGCCACGTCCCTCGGCGTCTAGGGCAGCACCATGGTGCGATTCAACCTACCGCTCCTTCAGGGAAGTGAACGATCTTCAGGAATGGTACTCCGAGGGCATTCCGCAGCCAAACTACTTGGGTACCAACTTTGGCGACCGACCGTCCCTGTTCAGTCCGGCTCCTCTTGCCTCAATGGCAGAGGCGAATGAGGCTCGTGCTCCCATGCCCCAATTCACTCCCTATCCCAGCCAACCCATGCAAGCGAGCCGTCTGCAGACACCACCACCATATTTTGTACCCGAGTTCGAGACCTCCCCGCCGGTGCAGCCAGGTCGCCGTACCAAGGTCTCTATCGAGGAGATCGTTGAGGAGCAGCCGCCTACACCTGAATCTGTGAAAGGTTTGAAGCGCAAGGCAGATGTGCTTGAGGCAGACGAGCCAGAAGCCGTTCTTGACGAAGCATCCAAGGCCGCCGTTGGCGATGAGCATGCAACCTCAAACTCGGTAGCTGCTGTTCCAGTGGATGATGCTGCTGCAATCCAGACGGCTGCCATTATTGCCCAGCGTCCCAAGAAGACTCCCCGCTCAGTTCTCAGCAAGGTTCTCAACAAGGCTGCCTATCCCTTGCTCGGTGCTACCGGTGCCGTAGTCTCCTTTGCTCTTCTTTCTACCCTCCCGGATGCCTTCTTTGTGTAGGCCATGATGGACCTGATGGACCTGATGGCAACAGTCCATCGTTCTTCTTTTCCGGAGTTCAGGGTAAGGCAAGGTGTACATGGCGGGGCGATTCTGGGATCATGATATCGGTGGGAGCATCTACGGATAACGGCAATCAGTGCTAACGGCGTTTCGAGAGACGTCAGAAGAGTCGGGTCCTGGGTTATGGGTGGTATGTGCTTCGGGATCCACTGGCGTTGTGTGTTTTTTCTCTCATGTCACGCCATGATGCATGACCATATTACCTTTGGTTTGATAACGAGTTATGTGCAAGAATCTCCCCACTAGATGCTACTGCGTGTGTTGCCTAAGTGATGTGAAAGATAGGTTTACGCGAAGCTTGAAATTCTTCGGGACGCTAAACCTCAAGCGGCTCGTGTTGAGGAGCTCCACTCCCACGTGGATGACCCGGACGTCACGTCTTCATTTCTGTCAGACCGGTCCATGGTAGAGTACGGGTACCTGTACCAGATCTTATCTGATTGTTGTTATGGGTTTGGTGTAAACAACGTCTTTCGCAAAACAAAAAAAGACTAGCTACCACCCAAGACCACACCGCAGTCTGAGTCAAACTCGCACTCTATTCTTTCGTCTAGCTACTAACAGCGACGCTCCTCTCGATCCTCACGCTTCTGCAGACGTCTGGTGGACTGTCACTGTCTTCTTGATAGCATTCCAATCCTGTATCTCCTGATTCAAAACAGCCGCCTCGCTCCCCTGTGTACTACCCTGCTGCTTACTGGACCTGTTTATCCCCGTAACCTTCGTCCTAACCTTTGTTGAGACCGACGTCCAAAGCGGTTTGAGGATTGGCAAACAAGCACACAAGACCGCAGTACAAACATGGATGCTAGTCCAAAGTTCGGTGGCATGATAGAAAACTGGTCAACGTCAGCGGAAACGACCATCGGTATTGAAGCAAGAGAACCTTGGAAGACCTACTCTCATTCGGATCCTCTTTCCGTCTCGTATAAAACTCAACAATCCGCACCACATTAGTAACAACAACAAACCCGCCCAGCGCAAAAACGCCCACAAGCTCGACCTTCGCTCTTCGCGCCATCTGCAGCGTAAACGCCGTGCGAATCGGCACGAGCAAGATAGCCAAATCATTCGCCGGGTCGAGCGCGAGAAAAGCCTGGAATACTTGCTGCCATTTTCCACTCCATTTCCCGCGCTCAGCAGCCACTTTGACGGCCTCAGACGGGGTATGGCTGCTGACGACGAAGGAGCGGCAGACAAATATCATGGCGGCGACGGCGGTGGCCCACCAGAGCGAGGTGAAGATTATTAGGTAGAGTGAGGCGCGCTGGTGGAAGGTGCAGGTGCGGAAGATGCGTCGGTAGAAGAGGAGGATGGAGAGTTTGCAGGTGAATTGAGACCATATCCCGAGGAGGAAGGCGGTGAGCATGGCCTTACGGTATTGGATCAGTCGCGGGGAGGCAGCGGTCAAGTGCATGTTTAGAATTTCGGTTTTGGTATAGGGTCCAAAGTTCGTGAAGCTCTCTGTCGTGAAAGAGTCAGCGCATGGTTAGAGCTACTGTAGTGGTCATGTTCTACCGTGTAGGGCGACGATGATGGCGGCCCAGTAGACGATCAGGGTCCATACTATGAGATAGTCGTCTCTCCTAAGACCTTGTTTGGTCGATAGTTTGGCGTACAGGCGTGTGCAGACTGTGAGGCCGGCGATGAGGCAGCAGATGAAGTGGGCGATCGCTATCTGATCGTGGTAGTAACTGAGGCCTAGCATCGTGGTGGAGGAGGGGCTGTAAACGAGCGATTGTCGCGATGTCGAGTTCAACGAACTTTCTGAGGCCTCGGGAAGGCGCGGTGTTAGTTGGAGGGGTGCTGATGTGCGGTCGAGGCGAAGAAGCGCATATCCAAGATCAAAGACTGAGGCAGTATATACGAAGGCGTTAGGATCAGCCCCGAGGGGAAAACAGTAGACAAACGGATGCGATCGTCGTCGAGATATGGAGCCAAGCTCGGTATCCAAATTGGAGGAGAAGACGGATATAGTGTGACCGCGCGATTGTCGGTGGTCACACTGTGTCACCCAAACGACGTGGTCCGTTTGCTAGCAATCTCCGTTTTACAGACTATTCCGAATGGGTCATGTTTACCCTCTCTCTTTCACTTCTCATTTCGTTTTGATAAAGTCGATCAGTGCGCCGAACCAGCCGAGCGGAACTATTATGATATTTGAATAACGGAAGATGGATAATGATGGATAAATTCAATGACTGAAAAGAACGCTGCTTCCATGCTAACCTATGCATCATCATGATCCTCAGATCTCAAATCCATCTCTTCTCAACCATATATCTCTGGTCGTATGCAGGCCTCTGCTTCGTGAGTGAGGCCTGCTCTTCCCAATTCTTGCGTTGAACGCTGTTTCGGTCCCTTTGTGGTCTCCACTAAAGCGTTGATACAAAGACGCTTGTTGCCCATAGACTGTACTTAGCTATACCAAACTCTAGCAACAGACACTGTAACATGTCTTCAGATGGCGTGAAAAGGGGTGTGGCGCTCATCTCCAAAGTGTGATATAGCTGAGAAGCAATCGATGTCCAGAAGCGTGTACGTATAGGCCGAAAGCCGTTTCCGTCTTTAAGCAACAGCACAGTCTCACTCTTTGTGCTCTTTTCCTTTCCATCCTTGCAATATCCTCAACCCTCGCCACTTCCACCCGTCTCACGATGATCATAATCCAGTCAGAGACACATGTCCCCCCATAGCTACCTCTAGCGCCGTGTTAACCAGAGTATCATCTTCCTCAACATCAAACGCCAACTGCACGAGCCTTCTCATCGTTCGCTCCAAGAGGCCCATGTGTCTTCGAAGTAGAATGTTTATCTTCTCGCGCTCCCGTCCTTCTACATCGCATGCCTCTATTTCCCTCTGCGAGATACCAACCTCCTTGTATAGGGCGACAACTTCTGCGATAAGCTTTCTTCTCCGCTCTTCGTACTCGAAATTGTCGCTGCTGACATCGGAGTCACAGTCATACTCGCGCTCTCCCTGGCGTAGCTGATCTGTGTCTTCGTCGGACCCGGTGTCTTTAGCTGCTAGTATATTTTCGTAATCGGGAGGGTTGCAGAGCGAATTGGGAGGAGGTGGCGGGAGTTCCGAGGGTCCACCGCGATCCACGTCTGTATCCATGTTGTCGTTGTCCGGGATGTAATCATACTGTACGTAGTTTTGCCGCTTCAGAGCGGCGCAGTAAGTTTCCAGTTTATTCACTTGAGTCTGGAATCCCTCGAGGTTGGCTTTAGCACTTTTAAGTTCGGCGATGCGTGCGTCGATCATGGTTTTGAGGTGTCTTGTCGCATCGTCCATTGTTTGAGTATGTTGCTGTTGCACCACCAGTCCTGCCCCTGCACAGAGTATTAGTGCCAGTCTTTATGAGTTTTCCTTATGAGTTTTCTTTATGATGAGCACGTCTTACCTAGATCTACGGTCCCGCCGCCATTTTCTGATGGAGTGGGCGACTTGACGGGCATTTTGCTGGCAGATCTCTTGCCCACGTTTAGGAAGAGATTACGAATCTTTCTGGCGCAATGGAGTAGGTGTGAGAAGTAGGTACTTCCTAGCGAAAACATTAAGTTAATATGAAAATAGGATACAGCGCTGAAGATGAGCCTTTTATAAGCTGGGCCGCGGCGCGGTTCCCTGATCAAAGCGTGAACCTAGGTTCAGCATACCAAGGGACCACTCACAACTCAGATAATGCAAATTATCATTACAACAAACGATACCGAGCGCGAGTATTGCGAGTACCGATACGTGATCAGACAAATGTCGGCTGCGTTATCCAGGTTGATAGTCGTTTGCTCACACGTGCCCGGGCAAAAACGCCGCCCTATTCGCCCGCGCCCAATTTCCATCGTGCGCTACAATCACCTCTACTTCTACAGGGCTTCCACCTTCTTCACGAACAGTCCCTTGCTTCAACAGCCTTGCTATTGTTTCCACGGTAGCCGCTGCAGCATCAGTGTCAGCATGCACACTTCTCAAACCGCCTTTCCCATCGTCGTAGAGCGCGATACCCTTCTCACCGCTCAAGATGCGTGGGTCGTGGCAACAGTCGCCACCAAGGTATACCCATCTCTTTGGCCCTGTTCGGGCGAGAAGGTTGATATGTCCGAACAAGTGCCCTGGCGCATCGATGATGAATAACGACCCATCTCCATAGAAGTCTATAGAGGCGGGAAACCCCGCCAGCGGCTTCCACTCAAGTTCTTTTAACTGGTTCTTGAACGCGCGTATAGCTTCTGCCTTGCGAACAGGTGGGAGCTCACTTGTTCGGTCGGCAGGCAACTCATCAGGGTTGAAAATCTCGGATGGATAAAGTGGCCCACCACCGTTCGCAAGAAGATGCATAGTCCCACTTCCGACTACAAATCGCGCGTTTGTGAAATCGCTTGGTGTACCCACATGGTCCCAGTGAACATGGCTCAGCATCACCACGTCCACATCTTTTGGGTCAAGTCCACCCCTTCGCAGGCTCTCAGCTGCATCCGGACTGACACTAGTAGGCTGCCGTTGCGCGATGTGATGCTGTTGTGCTTCCCGGTAGCCAGAAAAATCGCGCTTGAGACCGAGATCGAAGACGAGATTTGATGAACCGTGTCGAATCAGGAAAGAGAGAGATGGAACTGTCGCACGTCGTTCAGGGTCGGCATCTGTGACGAAGAGTCTCTCGGGAAGAGTAAGCTGGCCGGCTTCGAGGGCTGAGATGGTAACGTAGGTTTGGTCGTGAGCCGGTGCTGGAAGAACAACGGTATCGTTGCTTGAAGCCATGGCGAATGACAGAAGGCAAGAGCTGGTAGCTGAAGCGTTTCCGAAGGAGCCATGTTTGGGGCCAAATATGACATCGTTGTTGGAGAAAGCGTGGTTGGGGAAATCGCTGGCATGTATTCCGTCCTGCAGCCCCACCTTGTCAACTACCCCGCACGCGGGGTCAGCTCCTTTGAGATATCGAGATCTACTGGATTTATCAGTGGCAGCAGAAGGTATATAGATTGAGATTCTTCCGAGATGTAGTCGAATGACAACTCCCCGCTCCGTATCAAATCGAGAAGTTTCCAAAAACACCATGTCGTTTACTGTGCCGGAATCGATGCAAGCGCAGTACCTGGAGGCTTACAAGGAACCATACAGGCTACGATCAGTCCCAATTCCGAAGCTTGAGGAGCCGCATGACATCCTCATCAGGGTAGACGCTGCTTCGTATTGCCATACCGACTATGTCCTAGCGGAAGGACAGATGCCAGGATTGCCGAAATCTTTCCCTCACATCGGGTGCCACGAGTTCGCAGGGACGGTGGTCGCTCATTTCCAGACGCCCAGCAAGGAAGCTAGCGTGTTCGAGATTGGCGTGAGGGTCGGTGTACCGGGGCGTTCTTTCCATGCTTGTGGCTCATGTTTCGAGTGCAAGAACGAGCGCGTGGACGATCCGGTCGCCATGGATGAAGGAGGCTACTCGGTGAACTGTATCAATGCTGAGAACAAAGGGCTGAGCAAAGATGGAGGGTTTGCGCAGTATGCCGCTGTGGATGCGAGACAGCTATCACCCATACCAGACGGTCTGACCGCAGTAGAGACTGCTCCTCTGATGTGCGCCGGCGTGACCATATACGGGGCTCTCAAAAGATGCAGACTAAAGCAAGGCGATCGGGTCGGAATACTAGGAGCTGGCGGTGGTCTTGGCCATCTGGGCTTGCAATACGGCGTCAAGATGGGGTACAAAGTCCTGGGTATTGAGGCAGCAGATGAGCCTCTCAAGCTTTCGCAAGATGTCGCCTCGAGATTGGATCCACAGCCGTATATCGTAGACGCTCGGAACAAGAAGGCAGCGGATGTCGTTCAGGAGATCGGCAGACAAGACAGCAAGAAGGACATTGGCGAGATGGGGCTGGATGCAGTGATCGTCCTGCCGGAAAGCCAGACTGCTTTTGACTACGGCATGGCCCTGCTCAAGTCGCACAGCACGTGCGTTGTAGTGTCATTCCCGGAGAAGGGCTTTCACATCAACTCGCGCGACGTCGTGTTTCGAGATATCAGGATCATCGGCAGCCTGGTAGGAAGCAACAAAGTACTTCGTGAGATGCTGGAATTCTCCGCCGAACATGGTATCCGCGCTTTGTCGACATCGTTTCCTCTGGCGAAGCTGAACGAGCTTGTAGACGAATACCACAAGGGTAGGGGTGGAAAGCTGGTGGTTGACATGGCCATTGAAGCGTAGATCGAGTAATAAGATACTTCCGCGCACTCAATGTTTGCCCACCGCCAAGCCCGTGACCAACTACATCGAGTTAGCGGCACGTGATTGCCCAAGTGCACGTGCAGACCTCGGGAAGTGGGCCGGGGCCTCCCGATTTCGTGAGCGCCTGAAAGCTATGCAAAACTTCAAATATGGTGTTGCTCAAAGTAATACCCACTGCCTTCATGGCAACAGGTTCTTGTTAGGTTATAGCACCGATGGTCGAGAGTACCGCAATGTCCAGTAACGAGTCGATCATGAGCCAGCGGACTGACGTCACAAGCCGCCTGAACATCAACGTGAGGACTGTCCAACTAAGCCATACCACAGTCCTAGATACTTCAAACTTGACTACAGATATCGCACTGCCTGGCGTTGGCAATCTATTGCGCAGTACCTCCGCCTCCCGTCCCCCTATATGATCTGGCCCTACGCCTATTAACTACGACGAAGTCACCTCAACCATCATCGAAATCATCCAACTTAGCGTCTTTGTCTTCCTTTTCATCCTTTTCATCCTTGTCCTTCTCCTGTTGCTCAGTCCTCTTCTCCTCGATTGCATCAAATTCCTCAATCCAACTCTTGACAAACACCACCTCCTCTTCTTCCAAATCCTCACAGATACCACAAGCAAGTGCGCTACCTAGCAGACGGTTCCCATCTTTGTCCTCGGGCCACGGATAGAAGTACTTGCAGTACCAACAAGCGTATCCCGAACAGCGACGGTCGTCGCGCGTTGTGACAGTTGCATCGGCGCACTCGGCCTCGCAGACCGGCAATTCACATGTTTGACATGGGCCGCCGGGTGAACCTATGGTGCCCGGTACGTTGAAGTGTGAGCAGTCGTGACAGACCCATCCGCGGAGAGGGGGGTTGGACTGCGTAGTGTCAATGTCTTGACCTGGTAAGAGGAGTAAAGAAATGTGTGAAGGAAGAGGCTCTTACGTTTCGGGCCATTTCTGCAGACTGTCTGACTGCGAATAGCATGATTCTTTGCGCTGTGAAGTTTTCCTGCTCTAGTGTATCTTTCTCTTGCGTAGGGTTAGCACGAGAGTAGTTGGTACAGTTGAGGTATACATACTGCTGACGACGTCCATGATGTTGAGTGAGCGCTTTGTGCATGCAGGTACGATATCAATTCGATGTCGGAAGCGAAAGGGCGATGTGTTTGTACACGTCAGGTGCAACGAGATTGTTCCTGCTGCGAAGTAGCTACCAGCACGTGGAAAGGTCCAGATCACGCTAGGATGGTGTCGCAACTGCGTTTGCTCTTGTTTTGGACGCAGTCCCCGGCTTCTGCTGCATGATGCACGTATACTTCCAACAATATTCCCAACAGTCCATCGCTACAACTTAACCACCCGCTTAATTGAGCAATAGCAATATGACGACACCCACTAGTAAGTCCCTTTCCCCTTCTCTTCGCCCACACCACAGAAGTCGCTGACCCTTGCCCAGAGCGCGAAATCCTCAACATCCCTTGCGATCTCACTAAAGCCGCCCACCTAGCGCTCGTGCAACTTGCGGTCCGAGATGCTCGCGCAGAGAGCCCAGCACAACGCGGATGGATCTGTCATCGCAGCTCCCACTACAACACGCCTGGGTCTCGCCATGTCTCAGCTTCTCCATGCCGATGCGACCATGTAGCCTGCCGGCCTGTCTCAGTTCATCTGCAGCTTGGTTCAATGAGCCTGGGTAACTACTTCCCTCTCCAATGGGCACTACATGGTCAAACCTAATTCCAGTACAGACAATACATCAACCGCTTGTTTCGACGTTGAGGTTACAACGAGGGAAGATGCGAGGCATTATGGTTGGGTGTGTTTCTATTGCAAGGTGTATATTGCATGGGGTGCCCTTGGCGACTGCGGCGCTGCGCGTCTAGTATGTGCGGCGTGTGGTGACGTCAGAGAGAAGGAGGTTGTGTTTGTGAGGAAGAGTTTGGTGGGATATGCTCAGTCGTGGAGGGGGGTGGACGGCGTGAAGACGAATGGACATAGTTGAAGATCAGTGAGACGAGCAAATGGTGGGATAACTTGAGAAGCAATCGAAGCATTCATGAAAAACTGAACACCCTGGAGCCTACGTTGAACATTAGGTTGCCTACTTTGCATATTTTTATCTTGATGTAGGCCGCAGGCCTCTTTAGTTTTCTGTTGTGCGAGGTGGTACCTAGGTGTGAGTATCGCGTTTTTCGTATGCCATTCAGTATGAACCCAGTCGTAGTGCATACCTCGGGCGGTTTGATCTCGTATCCCGTATACGTAGGCAAGTAGCCCACCATTCTCGCTTCGCTCTGTCACCGCGTCTGTCGCACACAGTGACGATAAGCGTTGACGCGTCTTCGATGGCATATGCCTTGGCACTACCTAGGTACAGTGTAGAGAAGTAGAGAAGCTGTTGATAACGTGAACATGGCAAGGGTGTTGTTGTAATTCCGAATCCGATATGTAATTGCGCATTTATGATTGGATAAAGAGGCCTTTTGTCGGGGGTTGTTCTGTCCGACGTGAACGAAATCCGAGCACCTCGCTCTTTTACAACAGTGCGCGGGGGCACAGGCAGCCCAGGAGCCAGGACGCTGCCATCGGCGGCTCATCTATTCCGACGACCGGCCTTTAGCCGGACCCGAGACGCTCGCTTCCACCAACCTTTTGCGGGCTACTCGTATCGGTGAGTACAGCATTGTGCGTATCCAGCACACCGGAGTGGAAAGTTATGCGCCAAATCCGACGATGACTGTCATCAACTTCAGGCAGACATGTTTGCAACATCTCTTATATGGGGGCCTCTGCATCTCGCTCTCTTTGAAATTTTCCATACAAACAGAAGCAAGCACGACTATCGACTTTCCATCGATTCTGGTTTTGTCAGGTTCTGCCATCGTTTGGCGCATGCGTTATTTGTCTGGTCAGTGCCGTGTCATCTGTAGTTGCCTCGCACTCGCACTCGCGCCTTTGGTGTTGCGCAATCCATCCATCGTATCGGCCGTATTCCAGCCCCCCGGACGAAACGAGTCCGCGCTTTTGCGTCATCCACATTCGGGTCCATCGCCACCCAACCGAGAAGCTTAGATCGTGTGTTTTGCCTTATCAAGCCTAGTGCCGTCCGGCTCGGACAACGGCTCGCCCTTGCTCTACAAGGATCTCTAATCTTCTAGGCCCGTGGGTGGCGCGCTGAAGGATCTCAAAGGAATTGCAGGAGAAGTTATTGTTCCTCTCCTCGCGACATCCCCTTAAGACTTCTTGTAGGTATTTCGACTGCTGCACGCCAAGTATCAGCAACGACACGACAAGACACGCTCATCGCCTTGAGCATGGACAACGAGGACTCAGCAACGTGGACGGGAACGGCCATCTCCGCGGCCATCGACGAGAAGCATGAGTTGCATAAGGAGAAGGAGGCCAAGCCTCCCACAGCTGGCCTCAGTGATCAAGAGAAGGACATTATCGACAGGCAATTAACTGCGCCCAACCTTACAGTCGGTTACTTCTCGCTATTTCGCTATGCCAACGGAAAGGACAAAGTCGTCATGGTTATTGCGTTAATCGCCAGTATCGCAGCTGGTGCCGTTATGCCCCTCATGACGGTAAGTAGCATTTCGTATGTTTTTTTGCACCACTGAAATATGGACGATTCAGTCTTATGCAGACTTTGAGATTGTTCACCAAAAGAAAATAAAGGTTCATCAGAGTCGTGGGAACTATGAGCTAACTCAATTCAGCTCGTTTACGGTAACTTCGCTGGAAGTTTTACCAGCTTCTCGGTTGATGCAGTCGCCGCTGCCAAGTTCCAGGACCAGATCAACCAGTTTACGCTCTACTTCGTTTACCTCGGAATTGGATCTTTCGTCACTTCTTACATCAGCATCATTGGATTCTCGTACACCGGAGAGCGCATCACACGAACCATTCGGGAACTTTACCTACGTGCCATCTTCAGACAGAACATTGCCTTCTTCGATTTCCTCGGATCTGGTGAGATCACCACTCGCATCAGCTCCGATATGAACTTGGTGCAAGATGGCATTGGCCAGAAAATCGGTCTCTTCGTTACCGGAGTGTCCATGTTTGTTTCTGCCATCATCATCGGTTTTATACGATCCTGGAAGCTCTCTCTCATCATGCTTGCGGCAACATTAGCTCTCATTATGATGATGGGTGTCAACGGTACTATGATGAAGAAAGCTCAGACACTCTCCATCGACGAGTACGCCACTGCTGCTTCCCTGGCCGAGGAAGTGCTTTCTTCAGCTCGCAACGTCGCTGCATACGGCACCCAGAAACGACTCGAGGAGAAGTACAAGGCTTTCGTAGACCGCGCTACGAAACTGGACTTCAAGGCCAAGTTCTGGCTTTCTATGATGATTGCTGGCATGATGGGTGTGCTGAACCTCCAGTACGGCCTTGCATTCTGGCAAGGTAAACGATTCCTCGATGATGGGGACCTTGGCGTTTCCAACATCTTGACTGTAGTCATGGCACTTATGATTGCTGGCTTTTCCATTGGACAGAATCTGCCGCACATTCAGGCTTTCGGCGGAGCTACGGCGGCAGCTACGAAGGTTTTCAACACGATCGAACGAAACTCCCCCATCGACCCGGAAACGGATGCAGGCATTGTACCCGATGACTTTGTTGGCAACCTCGAGTTCAGGAACCTCAAGCACGTATACCCATCCCGACCGGATACTGTCGTGTTATCGGACTTCAACCTGGACGTGCCATCAGGCAAGATGATTGCGCTCGTTGGTGCATCTGGATCTGGAAAATCGACCATCGTTGGACTACTGGAACGCTTCTACCTTCCAATGGAAGGCCAAATATTCTTGGACGGAAGAGACATCACTACACTCAATCTACGCTGGTTGAGGCAACACATGGCTATTGTGAGCCAAGAACCCGTTCTGTTCAGCACAACCATCTACGAGAGCATTCTCCACGGCTTGGTCAACACGGAATACGCAGACGTATCGGACGAGAAGAAGATGGAGCTTATCGAGAAGGCTGCCAAGATTGCCAACGCTCACGACTTCATTATGGATCTTCCGGAGAAATACCAAACCAAGGTTGGAGAGCGAGGTGGCTTGTTGTCTGGTGGCCAGAAGCAACGTGTCGCGATTGCTCGTGCTATTGTATCAGACCCGAAGATCCTCCTCTTAGATGAAGCTACTGCAGCTCTCGATACCCGCTCCGAGAGCGCAGTCCAGGAAGCTCTCGACCGCGCGTCACAAGGACGTACGACCATCGTGATCGCCCACCGACTCTCCACGATCAAGAAGGCCGATAACATTGTGGTCATGGCATTGGGCAGAATTGTCGAGCAAGGCACTCATCAAGAGCTCATCAACCGCGGAGCTGTGTACGCAAGTCTAGTACAGGCTCAGGAGCTTACCGCAAAGATCAGCCCCGCCAACAGGATGACGCTTCTCGACGACCCTGAGAGTAAAACGGAAGGCATTGTCGATGAAGAGAAGCTTGCTTTGATGCGCACTGTCACATCTGCTCCTTCAGAATTCATGGCCAAGAAGGATGATAAAGACAAGGAATACGGCACCTGGGAGTTGGTCAAATTCGCTTGGGAGATGAACAAGGGCGAGCACTCTACCATGACCATCGGATTGGTATTCAGTTTCCTTGCTGGTTGCAACCCTGCCATCCAAGCCATCTTCCTGGGTAACTCCATCAACTCGCTTCTATCTCCTGGAACGTCTCTCGGCGGGCTCAACGTCAACTTCTGGTGTGGCATGTTCCTCATGCTCGGAATCGTCATCGGCTTCTTCTACTACGTCCAGGGTATGACACTGTCGAAGGGATCTGCTAGGCTTGTTGGCAGCGTGCGAACGCGCGCCTTCGGCGCTATGCTTCGTCAAGACATGGAGTTCTTCGATGGTGACACGGTCACTTCCGGTGCGCTGAGCAACTTCCTCTCTTCAGAGGCGAATCGTCTCGCCGGTCTTAGTGGCTCTACCCTTGGAACGATTGTCAGCGCCGCCGCTTCCATCCTTGTTGCCTTCATCGTGGGTTGCTCCTTCGGGTGGAAGCTGGCGCTTGTGTGCTCTGCAACCATTCCCCTTGTCATCGCCTGTGGTTACTTC